ACCCGTTACGTTGTCAATCAACTACATAAATAGTCATTTTTGCATAAGTTTGATAATTCATAGATTCACATTATTCGGCAGCAATATTTTTCACTCGGTAACTAACTTACTGCTCGCTCATTTTATAGGCCAATTAAAAATTGCATTAAATACTATTGGAGTTTGAATTAATTAAAGGATCTTTTACGCTCAATTTAAAGACCAAATTTAATTTCAATTTAAAACTCGATCGATTCGTTTAAATAATTATTAATAAATTATTAATAAAGCAATAGTTTTTCTCTTAAGAATCGATATAATCAACTCAAAATGACAGAGATAGAGAAGATAGTTTTTCAATAATATTTTTGCATTATTTTACATCGATGATACGAAGGTATGAAGTAAAAAAAAAACAAAAACAAAAAACAAAAAAAAAAAACAGAAAAATAGAAATTTTAATTAAGTTTAATTTTTTTCTTTCTATAATTAATGATCGTAGTTATACGTTGACACGTAGATAAAGATTGTGAAAAGATTTCGATTCCATTATTTAAACATTTGCATTTTTCATCATCGTAACTACAGTTTCAATATTGAATCATAAATATTGCATATTAAATTTTTAATAAATTTTTATATTCATCTTATTATTATTGTTGTTGTTGTTGTTGCTGCTTTTTTTGCTGTTGTTGTTGCTGCTGCTGCTGCTGCTGCTGCTGCTGTTGTTGTTGTTGTTGCTGTTAAACTACATTTTGTAAGGGACGATTTATTGCAATATATACACATATATTTCACGTGATTAAAGGATGAACGAGCTTTTTCTTGTCTCAGGGTGGGCTAAAAATCTACAATATATTTTACCTTAATGAAAAAGGATTTTAGTAAATGCTGTGGATACACAATTAAATGAAGTTAGTTTAATAATATACATATTGTATTCTAATATTATCTAAGTGACAAATTTATTTTATGATTATTATAAAAACATATAATATATTATCGTTGAAAAGCAAATAAGCTGCTAATGTAAATGTTATGTCACCGACATGGGATCTTCCTTTCATTTTTCATTCGATATTAATCAAGGAATATGATTAGTTACATTTTAAAGAAATAATTATAAGCTTATATTCGTTTATATTGTATTTATAATAAATAATTAACGAAGGATTGCCATTATATTGTCAATCGTTCCGATATAAGACAAGTTTTGTCGCCTTTCTATACTCAGAACTTGTTCATGAAGATTATATATTTGTAGAAATAAAACAGTACATGTTTTATTTATACATTTAATATTCATTTTATATTTATCAACGTTTTTAAATGTAATAAACGAAGCTATACGGTTTGTATAATTTGTTTGCGAGTGACAGAATTCAAACGAAAACCTTCGCATGATAAGTCGAGTTTGACTTGTTTTTAGAAAAATGTTTCACTAGGAAACCAGTAAAATCTGAAAGATCCACGAATTGTGAAGATAGAATTTTATAATGAACGAGCGTTGTCGAAAATATTCCATGATCTTATAATTTAAAAATTAATAAAAACAATTGATTACGTTCGAATATAAATTTATAAATTAAACACGAAAGTCGATTTAACTATTATACTCTTAAACCTCTGTTGATTTGTTTTTTCTTTGTTTTTGTTATTGTTATTGTTATTGTTATTGTTATTGTTTTTGTTTTTGTTTCTCATTAGATAGTATACAGAGAGAATGTAAATTTAACAGTAATTGGACACAACTCGTGAAATTGAAATTCGATATGATAGAGCCGTTATGGTAATACCAAATTCCCATCGCTATTATTTTAAAATGAATGATAATGATAATGATAATGCATTCTAATTTATTAATTTAATTTCGCGGAACAAGCAATCGATATTTTATTTTATGTAAATAATATTAGCGGTCTGACTACGAGTATATATTATCAAGTAATACTTGTTAAGGGTAAATGTTTCTCACAATGTTTGAACATTTTTTTGTCAGCGATATTGCATCAGTGGATGACGATGGCTTTTCATTAATTTTCTTTTAATTATAAAATGACGACGAAGAATAAATTTATTATAATTTATTTATTACTTATTTAATTCTAAGTTACGCATGATTGTATGAATTTAATAAATCTTTTGTAAAATAATTTCGAACGATAATTAGATTTATGGAGGAGAAATATATGTAATATACGCAGAATAATGGCAATTGATAGCATTGGAAAAAAAACAACATTACGTAATGAATATTTATAAAAAATATTTATTAATTCATTTTCATATAATAATTGGAATAGTTTCACGATTGAACTTTATTTAAATGAATAAAGAGACAATAATAACAAAAATTTCTTTTGCTATATTTGTAATTTAAGTGGAAATAATTATGATAATGTTTTTAGTAATTCACTGCACAAATGCCTATGGAAAATGTTGTAAGTCATATGTTACAATTTTCGTCAAGACTTGTTTTACATATGCTATTTAGTCACTGGCTACGAAACATTACTCTTTGTTTATTCCTTTAGCATCATATTTATCTTATTTACTCTTGGGATCGCGAAGACGAAATAAAAAACCACATAATATCATCATCCCTCGGGTCTTGTCCGACTCTTATAAAGGAAATTATTTTCCGAGAACGAAATCAGCGTGTTCGGGGCTATTAGTTGTTAAGGGATATCTATCAACATACTTGAAATGTAAAATATAAACGGTAATATTTATAATAATAATAATAATAATAACAACAACAACAACAACAACAACAACAACAACAACAACAACAACAATAATAATAGCAACAATAACAATAGCAACAAAAACAACAACGACGACGATGACGACGACGACTATGATGATAAAGACGATGCCGATAACGGTTAATTGTCATAATAACAGCAATAATAATTTCAATAATGATAATAAAAGGATAAAGTAAATGAGACGAGGCGGTGGCAGACGTAGAGAGCGCCGGACCGAGGGAGTCGGACACGAGTGTGACACATCGCTGTCACGTGCAATGTTATTCCCATGAATAATCGATGTACCATGGCATAGCATAGGTGGTAGGCGCGAGAATCGAGGGGGCGGAGGAGGGAGGGAGGCGGTCGAACAACGCCAAGTCGCAAGCTCCCCAGGCCCATCCGCGCCTCACAATCGATAAATCGCTGGGTGGCGGCGATTCGCCACGGTCTACTACATGGAAGAAGGAAACCCTGGGTTCGAAACACTCGGCATGACGACGTCTCCCCGCCCCAGCGACTCCGCGTGCGCGTCAGTCTGGCCACGCGAGCGCGAGCAAAAGTCTCGAGGCGAGGGAGACGACGCAAATCGCACTTGCCGCCGCTCGCCGCTGCAGCAGTCGCGAGAGCCGCCGAGTCACGTCGGACTTTATTCAAGGTTTTCTCGGCCTCCTCGTCTCGCGTGAGCCGGCCAACGTCCGTGGTATGGTGACCGCACGGATGTTCGCGCACAACGGCTACGTAGACGTCTGCTCCCGGAGCTGCAACGAGAGAGGCTAACGCGCGAATTCGCCTGGTGATTGTCGGCCTCGGTCGAGCTACGCGCTCAGGGACTAACGGGTACGCGGGTTCCGATATCGTCGTCGCGCATCTCTCTTTAACGAAAACGGTGAGAGTGAGTGAGTGCGTGTCCTGTCCTGTCCAGCCCTGTCTCTTGCCTGGTGCCCTCGTCGAACCTCGAGGACACGCGCGTTGGCTCGAGTTCGTCAGGAAGGAGAGCAAGAGGAGCTGCGGAGTCCTTGGGAGCCTCGTTGACGTCATTGAAATCTTGATTTCGTCCCACCACCATACGCCACAACCCCTGTAAGTTATCTCTCGCCTCGTGTCATGTATTCTCTCAATCATCCACTCTTTCTTTCTTCCCACCCCACGAGCCATACACGTATGTACATATCAATGCAGCATGCACATTTTTTGCATGGGTGGACGCGCGTGCGTACACATCCCGTTATACACGCCCGCGTGCAATGCGTACGACTGGCATGTACGTGTGCAGGAGCGTAAATACTAAAAGCGGGTGCGCGCGTACACGTGCTTCATATTGATTATTTTTCCCTTTTATTTTCGTCTCTCGACCCCATCGTCGCGTCGACCATTTCATCGTGTCGCACGAATAAACACGAAGGAAAAAAAAAACTTAAAGCTCTCGGTTCGCCGCTCATCCGTGTATGCGTGCGTGTGCCTCGCGCCTCTGCGCGATGAATCAAGTCCGTATTCCCTTGGCGGATTAAAGAGAAAGGAGGAACGAAGGCGGAAAATAAAGAATGCGAGGAATGAGAGTTATTCGACGGCGACGACCACGCGAGCATTAAAATTCTTAACGTTGCGTGTCTCAGCGATCAGCGAGAAAACTGTCGGCACAACGCGGCACGGCACGGCACAGCACGGCACAGCACGGCACAGCACGGCACAGCACGGCACAGTACAACACGCCGTCCGCGCGCGATCCAGTTTGTACCGGATTGCGGCAGAGATCGGGCAGATTTTCTCCTTTCCCTCTCTCCTTCTGTCTTTCTCGTTCATACCCCCCCTCCCCCCTCTTCATTCTCCTCTGTCCCTTGCCCCCCTTATCGACGCCCGTGGCCCCTCCGCGCCTCTCGCTCTTTCTCGCTCTCGCGCATACTCCCTCGCTGATCTAGAACCCCCTTATGTGCTAACTCTGACGTCCTTCTCGCACTCAGTGCAAGGCGTACGTTTTATAAAACGTGTGCAAGTCGTTGTCGCAGGTGACGACGGAGCCGCTGCTGCTGAGGTCAATCGCCGCGGAGGAGGGCATCCCGTGTTCCCTGTGGAGGTGTGCCCTCGACGAGCCGAAGCAGACGCGAGCGCGTGAACGTGAGCCAGAGAGACGAGGGAGATAGGAAGTGTGAGAAGTAACGAGAGGGAGAGGAGTCGAGAGCCGAGAGCCGAGAGCCGAGAGCCGAGAGCCGAGAACGGAAAGTGGAGAGCAGCGGGCTTAGAGCGGAGAGCAGAGAGCAGAGAGCAGAGAGCAGAGAGCAGAGAGCAGATAGCAGATTTAACGGGACTCCCCAGGACAACGTCGCCGCCGACGCGCCACACCAGCCGATAGGATGTCCAACGAGGAGACCTCCGCCGATCGTAATGTCGAAATTTGGAAGATCAAGAAGCTCATCAAGAGCTTGGAAATGGCCAGAGGGTGAGCGTATACCTTTTTTCAGCTTGTCGATTTAATTCCAAATATATTTTCGAACACGCCATATGTTTCAAAGTTCCGAGCTTCGAGTTCTTTGTCTTTTTCATTAAATTACTTCCTAAACACGTGAATGTGGGGTTATGAAATCATTTGCACATTGAATCATAATTCCATGTCATTATACATATTGGTAGCATAGACTTTATAACCCCAATTGCCTAAAGCATTAATTTGATATCTACTTTATTGGTTTTATTACTAATTAATCTTATTGCGAGTTGTCTATTTTTATTGACATTTATGTAACTATTAGAAAATAATTATCGCAATGAGCATAACCCGTTTTAAATATGCTCTATTTTTTCAACATTAACTTTGACTTTAGATTTTAAACAATGATATACAAAAAGTTCGATCCCTCTAGTTAATACTGCATTTTGATGTTACCTTATGCCCACTGGATGCTGGATGCTCAAAATTAAATGCTTCTTTTTTAATTATTATGCAGGAATGGTACAAGTATGATTTCACTTATTATTCCACCAAAAGATCAAATCTCTAGAGTCAGCAAAATGCTGGCCGATGAGTTTGGTACAGCGTCGAATATCAAGTCCAGAGTTAATAGACTGTCCGTCCTGGGTGCTATTACATCGGTACAGCACAGGCTAAAGTTATACACTAAAGGTTAGAATAATTTTGTTGATATTGTAGTCGATCGAGCTGTTCAAATTAGCAGTTTTAAATATTAATTATTAGAATATTTAATGTGCTTTTAGCTGGACATTAAGAGCGACTTTGATTAAATGCATGTGCATAATATTTTTTCTACTTGTTTTTATTTATGAATAAGATTGAAAATTTATTATCGATATATTTTGATATAATTTTCCAGTACCTCCGAATGGCTTGGTTATTTATTGCGGAACAATTGTTACCGAGGAAGGAAAGGAAAAAAAAGTGAATATTGACTTTGAACCCTTTAAACCAATTAATACTTCGCTTTATCTCTGTGATAATAAGGTAAATAATTAGTTTTACAATAGTCGAATTGCGTAAGGCTCGCTTTAATGCCCTATTAATTAATTATTATTTTTATTTACAGTTTCACACAGAAGCTTTAACAGCATTACTTGCAGACGATAATAAATTTGGTTTCATTGTTATGGATGGTAATGGCGCACTTTTTGGAACATTACAGGGAAACACGCGAGAAGTGCTTCATAAATTTACTGTAGACTTACCGAAAAAACACGGTACGATAATGACTTTATTGTATTTAAATAGATTAATCATATAATCATTTTGTTAAATAATTTCGCATTGATCGTAACAGAATTAACCATCCTTATGTTCTTGTTTCAATTGAATATTTATTTATTTGTACTTTATGGATAGTGCGTGAAGTAAAAATTGAAGAGGTGCACGTGACGTCGTTAATGTGATTATCGTGAAATGTATTTTTGAAAATATTTTATGGATTCGTATACAGCCAAATTGGTTACACGCAAAGTATTTCCTTGAATTTTTAATTTTTTTAATCTCTCTCTCGCTCTCTCTCTCTCTCTCTCTTTCTCTCTTTCTTTCACTTTATAATATAACTTTATAAAAACTTTACATCATTATTTGCAAAGCATATTATTTCTTAACTAAAAATATCGAGGCATATTTTGTATTAATTACTTTCATTTATTAGCATACTTTGTGATCCTTACGATATTTGACATTTTACATCATTTATCAATGACACTTCACAAATATTTCTTAAAATAATTGCTAAGGCAATAATACCACGTGCCTTAGATCTAAGATAATAATTATGATATTTTTTCTTTATGCGTAAAATCAAAAGGGACGTGTAGGTGCTTTTACTTAAGATTTTTCTCATATTTTATCTATTGTTTACTTGCAGGTAGAGGAGGTCAGTCTGCGCTTCGTTTCGCTCGGCTGCGAATGGAAAAACGTCACAATTATGTTCGCAAAGTTGCTGAAGTTGCCACACAGCTTTATATCACTAACGATAAGCCTAACATTGCCGGTTTAATTCTCGCTGGTAGTGCCGATTTCAAAACGGAGCTCAGCCAATCCGATATGTTTGATCCCGTGAGTTCATTCGTTACATATTTACTACCAAATTTAATAAATAAATTCGTAATCTTTATCATTGATACCAGAAATGGGTATACAACATAATATAAACACGAACATTTCGAGCATTCGCAAACAAAGCATTATACAATGTAAATCAACTATTTTTATCTTTTTTATCTTTATTTAGAGATTGCAAGCAAAAATTATTAAATTAGTTGATGTTTCGTACGGTGGAGAAAATGGTTTTAATCAAGCTATTGAATTAGCTGCTGAATCTTTACAAAACGTTAAATTTATTCAAGAAAAAAAACTAATAGGTACGCAATTTGTAGTTTCTAAAGACAATCTATGCTCAAATATTCAATAACTAGTTAGAAACAATTTATTTTATAACCAGGTCGTTACTTCGATGAAATTTCTCAAGACACAGGGAAATATTGTTTTGGAGTGGAAGACACGTTAAGAGCTCTTGAATTAGGTAGCGTCGAGACGTTAATATGTTGGGAGAATCTTGATATTCAAAGATACGTCTTAAAAAATCATACGAGTAACGAAGAAAAAGTTTTACACCTGACTCCCGAACAGGAAAAAGACAAAACCCACTTTACTGATAAAGAGGTTAGTTTTACATGATGAGTTTAATGCAAGTATTCTCAATAAAGCCGATGCTTCATACGTTGATGTTTTTGTCTCGCTTAGAGTGGCGTTGAATTGGAATTGGTAGAATGTCAACCTCTGCTAGAGTGGCTTGCAAACAACTATAAAAGTTTTGGGGCAACATTAGAAATTATTACAGACAAGTCTCAGGAAGGATCCCAATTTGTGAGAGGTTTTGGTGGTATTGGAGGTGAGTGTCGCTTAATATACAAACTTTTTAAGAAATTAAGTACAAAGTTGAAATGTGTTTCAATTGAAACAAAATTTTTTTCAATACATTTGAAGATGATTACTAGTAAAATTAATTTACTATCTGTAAATTTTTGTAAATAAATAATTATTAACCTTAATGTCGTAGGATTATCTTAACGTTATATTAAAATTTTACAAATAAATGTTGTTAACGATAAAATTCCAATTTACAAATGCTTATAATATAAATGTTTTAACGAATAAAAATGATATTATTTATTTGTCAAATAGCTTAAGGGGTCGAGAATTAAAATTCATAATAAACTTAATCGAGCCTCGATCAAATCTTCATTGTACAGTTTTTATTTTAAACTTATCAAGTAAGCCTAATTACAGATAGAAAACTAGATTTTCAAAGTAAATCATCTTGAATGTAATATATAATTGAACAAACCTTTAATACAACAGTTTTTCGGTATATAGGAATCCTTCGCTACAAAGTCGACTTCCAGTCATTACAGGCTGATGAGCCTCTCGATGACGTCGACCTCGACGATTATTAAATTCGCGTCTTCGTCGCTCGGTCAGAGTCGACCAGGTAGCTTTCTACAATTATTCAAGTGCGCCATTTCGCTATGTCGTTATTATTTTATGTTTCTTTCATATTTCGTACAACAAACTTTTTCATTCTTCGTATAGAATCACTTGTATAAAGTGTGTCGTATCGTTTATTTAATTTATAGTGGAACATGAATTTTTTTTGTTCCTCGTTAAAAATACCATCAAGTCTGCAGTATTTTAATCAATTGGATGTTCTTTATTACGTAGTTTAGTTGTTTGAATATGTTTCATGTTTTATTTTCATTTATTATTATTTTATTATTCTTACATGTATCTTTCGTATTTCTTTTTAAACAGCACAATATGAGATATAAAGGATGTTAAATTTTATTTCGTGACTGGAACATTTTAAAGATTTGTCTGCATGTCTTCATATTATTTATAATTGCCACATTCTGTAGAGTGTCATTAACAGGATGAAAGCCGTCATTTGTTATTTCTAATATTGTCGCACGCTTCTCGTAAAGTCGTATTAAAATTCTATATAATATGTTTCTATTTATTTTTTTATTCTTTATTCGAAATCGTTTAGATTTTGCATGTTAGATTGTTATAGATATTAATCACAAATTCTTACTACGTTACTAGTTGAGAATATTATAAATAATCATTTTGGTACATTGCAAGAGGAATGTCTTGAAATATTGTGTAAATGCTGAAAATTTATAAATGTGCCAAGGTGATTGCTTTGAAAAAATTTACTTTACATTTAAAATTTCATCTCACGTAAGTTATTCTAAAATATTCTGTATGTATGCTTATTAAAACATAAAATGAGGAAGACTCTGTAGTCTTTGATTTATGTTACTGTTTCATGTTTTTATCATTTTACAATTAATGAAATCCTAACTAACAACGTAAGAGTACAAGGCCAAATTCTTCCTCTTGTAGTTAATACGAGTACGATATCTATATTTAGGTAATGCGAGCTGGAGGGAATGCATAATTCATCTCAATTTGTAAATTTTGCAGGTGTTTTGCGGTACAAGGTGGACTTTCAGAGTATGCAGTTAGAGGAAGTTGAATTCGACAACTTCGACTATGATGATTATTAAACTATTTGGACTCCAGTTTTGGACGTTTTTTTTGGAAAACTCATTCAGAATTAAAAGTCACAAGAGAAGAAAGCAGCTACCAGAATCTAGGAAACGCCGAAAGCTATAAATTCGTCTGACTCTACATCTCTTTCTCTCCATCATTCCAAAATGGAAAGAAATGAAGATAGGATCCAAAAGTACTTCTATTTTTTTCTATAGAAAAAATAAAAAACAAAAAAAAAAAACGTGGTTCTGTGAACTCTATAGCTCTGAAGGATCGAGAGAAAGAGAAAACTGGTGCTGTGTAATACGTAAAAAATAAATAAATTAAATAACAGTCTGTGCTTGTGAGTTAAAGACTCGACACAGAGAAAACTGCGACACCTAACTAAAAGTCAGCTTGATGCCTGCCTACAACATTAAAACGACGTCATGCCGTCGCAATTTTCTATCGCAACGTTGACTCGTCGTCGAGGCTGCTCTGAGACTCGTTAAACAACACATGCAAAATATCAACATTTAAAGTTTATTCATTAGTAATTGCATTGATTGCAATGAAGAAAAAAAAAAAAAAATTTTTAATTCGCGCACTCTGTGTCCTTTATATATTTTTTTCTCTTTATTGTTATAATTCTAATACCAATATCTTTTGGAAAAAGGATTTTCATTTCTTATTGTTTTTGTGATTTTTATCGAATTAATATCGAGTGTATGGTCGATGAAATTAATAAAGATTTCGTAGAGATGTATGGTTTCTCCAACGGTGGTAGCAGCTACGAGGCAGCCTTAACAAAGTCGGTTGACCTGCCAAACGTTACCTCTGTTCGCATGGAGAATCATGGATGAAATGTAATAAATTGATTGCTATTACCGATATGGTGTACAATATTAAAAAATACTTTGCATAAAAAACAATGTTACATAATTTAAAGAAATGAAAGATATTGAAATTGAAAAATATTGAATTTTAAATATCCATGGAACAACACAGAAATAATCTAAAAGTTCTTATTAATCTCCTTATTTCCTATATAATGCTTATGTATCCAAGAAGGGTCGAACACATAACAATTTGAATGAAATGGATGGATATAGAAATATAATATTTTCATATTAACTTTATTACTATATAAGTAATTTTTTCTTTTTATTTATTAATTTATTGAAGTACATAAATGAAAATTTATGACCTATTGTGAATTTAGTCATATGTACTACAATCATAAAATAAAACAAATCAAATGGAAAATACTATTGAAAAAAGAATTTTAGTTTATGTAATAATTCTAAAATATTTTAACAAAAATTTTAATATATTTGATATTATTTATTAACACAAATGTCGTTTGCTAATTTTTAAAAATACATGTAATTAAATTTTCATCTAGTCATACTAACTATACATCTACTTGAATTAAACTTTTTATATACAATTTCAATTCCGTAACTTATATATATCAGTACATATTGTAAATAGTTCTTGTAAAATGTTGCCATAAAGAATTATAAAAAAAGAAAAAAAAAATACACATACATACACACGTGCACGCGCGCGCGTATGCATACACACGTATATATATTAAAAAAAAAAAAAAAAAAAAAAAACCAATCAATTTTCTGCAATGATTAATAAGCTATTAATTTCATACGATAAATTTCAAGAATATTAAACAAGATTTTCAATTATAAGCAAATCACAATATTTTCTTAATTTAATGATATACAGTGAATATGATAAATAGCAATAGATGAAAATTAATATTGCATACTTGAAAAAAATGTATCTTCAAGTGATTACTAAAATTTCTCGTAATTTAAGTAAAGAACCGTTTCCCTTTGTAAGATTTCATGATTTCAACTAATTCTTTAATCGTAAATGATTACGGAATTCTGATGCTTTAATGCCTATTATTAAACATTTAATAAAATTCTCTATTGTGTCTATAATTAATTTTCATTTTTTATTTTAACAGCTCAGTTGAATTTAAAGACATATTTTACAAATTTCTTTAAAGTTTATATTGCCAAATAAATGAGTTTATAGCTTTTAAAGTAAGCGCATGTAAAACATCTTGTTTAATTTGCGACAGGAATGCTTAGTATAACTATGAATATACGTTAGAATATTTTTCCAAGTTTTTGTATTTTTTATATTCATTGAAATCTTATAATGAAAAGGAATTTATTGACTTTTCTTAATTTATGTAAATAGAAATATAAGATATCTAATTTAATGGATTTTTATTTTTAATAAATAAAAGTTAAATTGCTAATTATATTAATGTTTGATATACTGTATAAAAGTAATGAGAGTAATTAACCTTTGCAAGTGTAATTTTATTCACTCAATTTAAAATTATTAGAACTGTACAATATTCGAATTCAATTTACATATGTATATATATATATATATATATATATATATATATATATATATATATATATATGAAATATCACTTAACTTTCATAATTGTTTCAGGAAGCAATCGAGTAATTATGCTTTTAACATCACAAGAATTTGTCAGGTTCATATTTCTCTAAATGACATAACGATGCAGAAGAATATGATACGAATGAATTATTGGGAGATGTATTAATTAGATTCGGGTATTAGCAAATTAAGACTGGCATCGGCTATTGTTGATCCAATGAATTTTTCTTCTCCACCTCGAATACACAATTTTGGACCCGTTACTTTAGACTTTTTCTCATCCATCATGCTTGTTTTTACCCATTTTATACTAGAACACTTTTTACAAGGATTTGCAGGGATCCTGTCGAGACTTACAGTTCTATTTTCACAGTTAGCACATTTGAAGAATCTTTTGACAGCATCGATAACTTTAACAGGGTGCTGAAGCGTTTTACACAGATCTGAACCAGAGAATGCAACATATTTACAAACACTGCAATAAACAGCTTTGCAATTAATTTTAAACGTTTCCAACATTTTTATCTCTAGCCGTTCCTTCGATTCGCCTTTTTTGAAATATAGTTCCATCTCCTCGTCTTCTCTATTTTGAATAAGATCGCTATGAACTGATTTCATTTCCATCATTTTTTGAAATTTACTATTTAATTGCTTACAATTTTTTACATCTTGATCTTTTTCATCGTTTTTATCCTCTCTTTTGCGTTTACGACCTTTGTCTTTTAATAATTCCTTATCCGGACGAACATTGTTGGGGTTCAATTTTTTTATGCTACCATTTCGTTTTACCCATTCGATAGCATTTAACTTGGCCCTGTTTATAAGATTTTTCGGAATTGATTCTGAAAAGTCAATCATTCCACCCTTCATTCCACTTCCTAATTTTGGAGTGGGCAATTTAAACTTAGCATCAACTTTCTTCTCTTCGTTCCTAGGTGGTGAACGTAAATTTTCATTGCCGTTGCATCCCCTTAGCTTATTCAATCTCTCTATATCTTTTTTTGATTGACTACTTGAAAATTCAACAGTGGTTTTCTTTACTTTGCTTTCTGGTGTTATTTCATAAATTGTCTTTGTTTTCTCCACTACAGGTTTATCACCTCTTAACAAAGCTAGACGTTCGCAATCCTTTTTAAAAAGGGCTTCGTTACGTTTGGCTGGGATAGCAATAAATGGTAATGCATCAGGATGACGTCGCTGCAAGACGCCCGCCTGTTTAGAGTTAGTATTTTTTGAAATTCCAAAAGTTCTGTTCATCGAGGTAGTTTGAAGTTCAGATCGTCTTGAATATTTTCCGTATTCTTGTTTTATATGATAAACACAATATTCACAATTGCTTAAATTAACCGGAGACGTGCAAGGTTCACCATTTTTTTTTACTGATTTGCATTTACCCAAATCCCTGGAAAAACCTAATATTAGAACTTTTTGAGAATTATTAACAGAAAGTGTTGCCAAGTCTTTATCGTCTCTAGATTCCAGCACAGAGGGATTTAAAATACTAATGACCGTACCATTTGATACTTTCCAAAAATTTTTATATGCACTACTAAAAAGAAATATGGAAACAGTTTTCATATCCATACCGAGATCAGTAATTTTCCAAATGCAATACTGATTACCTTTTTGCGACGTTTTGGTCAAACTTTTATTCAATATTATCCCTCCAATTACCCAATCCTCGTTTGAATTTCCCATAGATTGATTAGTTAAATGCAGCTTCACCGATGAAACAGAAACTGCTTTTCGGCCTTGCATTTTTTCAATCAACTCCGATGATGAAATCAAAGGCTTAATAATCTTGAAGCCAAAAATTGGATCTTTATCAACATTCTTTTTAATTGAATTATTAAAGTCTCCTTGACATTTTAAACTACTTTGATCGCTTTTCTGTACTAAAGAATTAGAATCATTTGATACTGAACTATCTGTTTCTGAATTAAAACAGTTACTATTATTTTTGTAATTTATATTATTTGACGAATTAAAGTTATTTCCTTTTTTGAGACTGGAGTTAAAATTTATATCTTCCGGTTCTTTATTCTTTAATAAACACTTTATCTCTCTGCCATATTCAGAATATCGTTGTTTTTCAAAATATTTTTTATCTTCATCGTCGGAAGAATTTACATTGTCATCGACATAAGAAACAGATTCGCTTGGTAATTTTGGAGATTTTGTTTCGACAATTTTATCAGTACAATTTGTAGAATCGCTGTCGATAAAATTGTAATCAAGCTCTTTCAATATAGCAGGTTTAATTTGCTCGGATGATTCTGTACCAATGTGATTTGAATCATCGCTATCAATATTTGCTAAGAGATTGGCAAGAACATCTTCGTCCGATTCGACATCACTCATTGTTTATGCCTATCGTTATATCAGTTTATAATCAATTCTACGTATCTAGAAAATACATAATAGCAATAAATAGTTATTTTATTATTTTATAATAAATAAAATAATAAACAAACAAATCATTTAAAATAAAAACAAGTACTGTCATGTTTTCCTTTTTTTCTTTCATAATTTGTTTTAAATTTTAAATAAAGGTAACGAGTACATTAAATAATATAATAAAACATACTTGCCTTTAATATAATAAATAAATATATACACACATCCATATATATATATATATGCATACATGTATGTATATAAATCACAGTTCTATTTCAGTTTGGCAAATTATTTCAAAGAATATGGCTTATGATTGAGCATTCTTAATGTACAACCATATAAAGCTTATATATATATATATATATATATATATATATATATATATATATATATCACTATATGTTTTTCTGTTATGTTTTTCTGATTAGTTGACGTAATTATAAATTGATGGTTTATCAATCGTAAGTGACAAACGGCTGACGACATTATAATTTTACTTTCACAGCACATCGATCGTCGGCTACATTCGTCGATCCTAAGAAATCCCGCCAAATTTACTTCTCTCGGCAATTTGTGATGTTCTTGTTTTGATTTCTGAAGATGGCGTTACGGGGAGGGGGCGCGAAATTTAATTATTTACATCCGCATAACATTTCGTTTGAAGTTTCATATTAATTATACAAATGTCTGCGCAAGTATGTAAGAAATAAAAGTATATTGCCAACGAACATTCACGATATATAGAGTAGCTGCAGTAGATTATAAGAACAATAAAATGAAATTCATAAAAAATTATTTACAATCTAAAAAGTGATCACGTGTGTGGTAAGTTTATATGGAAAATTATGTTTTAGAGTTTTGGAAGGTTAATTTATAGATTAATAATTATTTTGTAATAATATTTATATTAACAAGGATAGCAATTATTCTGTATCATCTGATTCGCCAAATAAATGTGCAAGCAATGATTAAAATTGCACTTGCAGTATCAAAGTAATAAGTATTTATTTCAATATTATATTGTCTGGAAAGATACGTAACCCAAGCATTGGCACTCAATTGGGAATATCTCTCGAAGCCGACACGAGGAATCGACAGAAAGAAATCACGCCAGAATGAATTTTCATTACGATTAGTTTTGCATTCATATTTGTTGAACCCAAAAAAAAAAAAAAAAAAAGAAAAAAACAAAAAACACACACACACACACACGAACACACAAAGGTCAAATGAAACGTATAAAGTATATAAAGAGGGAAAAGTCATCGTAAGAGGGCTCATCGTCGGGGCTCATCGTCGGCCCGCCAGCGTAGGGCAATACGAATTTTAAATTACCGCAAGACACGCTCCCCGACGATTCGCGCGCGTTCGAATCGATCCGGAATGAGGGAGAGCAGAGCAAGACCAAGCGAGACGGCAGTTACTTGTGAAATATTCACCACGAGGGCGATCATTGCGACCCGGGCTTGTCGTGATGGAGAGAGAGAGAGAGAGAGAGAGAGAGAGAGAGAGAGAGAGAGGTGGCTCGGGGCTAAGAGGAGAATTGGAAAAACGCCGTGAGAAAGCGTTGGTGGTGTGCCCCAGGGTGGAAAAGCGGCAGCCTGCGCTCTCGTGCGGCTTATTTTTCATTGAGAGGTGAAGCTTAATCCCGGCGTATTCGGTGCGCCAGCCTCGTAAACTATTAAAGGCTGCGGTGGAAGCCGGTGCTGTTTGGATGCCGGCGCCTTGGCATATGTTTCCTTATCTACTACCACCGCACACCCACGCACACATAACTCATTGTCCATTTAAAGTTGTTCAATTTAAAATGTAAGGACGAGATGCAGGGCGTCTCGGTATTGTTGTGGCATCGAGTTGAGCCCAGCGGGGCGCTCACAACATTTGCCAACATTTGCTTTCAATTTACAGATTTTGCAAGGATATGAGTCGGATCTTGCTTGCTTTCAAACTCCTCCCATGTCTACATACTGCAACGATGTTTAACTTATGCGAGGATACATTTCTAACTGTATATATATATTTTTTTTTTTTTTAAGCGTCGCACATTCATTTTTGAGAAGTTTAAAGATGGATTCATCTCAACATTTGTTTCAAAATCTAATAAAGTAAAAAATTCAAATTGTAAGAAATATCATTATATATCTGGATAGTAGATTGTAAAGTTTCAATAAACAATTGCTGCATCATGTAAAATTAAATTAAAACTCTTAAATTATTCTTTCTTTTTTCATTCATTTTTTTTTTTTTTTTTTTTTTTTTTTTTTTTTTTTTTTTTTTTTTTTTTTTTTTTTTAACAAAATATTATTGCATTTTTTATGAAACTCATTGAATAAAGAACATAGATTGCAATCTGTAAGTCACAGAGACATTTTTATAAGTAATACAAGTTATTCAAATATGTATTTATATAAAAAAAATGTATTATTTAGTGGATGAAAAATCCATCATCTAGATAAAATCAAATTAAGCTGAAAAATGAAAATAAAAATATCCAGGCTCGACCCTATTATTATTAAATTTATCATTTATTGTAATTTTTCAACTTAATTTTGAATAATAAAATTTATTTACATTATAATAGTTTTTTTTTTTATTATATGTGACGATAATAATTGTGATAAAATTTGTATTTGTTATGTTCAATTTGTTATGTTAAGTATATAAATTTAATTGTATTTCTGTATGTGTACTGTACTAAGGATTATTCTTAATGTTCTTACAATGTCCAAGTGTAAAATTAATTCAAATTGTTAGTTCGAATAAAATAATTATAGGTAAGGAAATATATAATTATAACATTAATGGATCTAATTTGAAATTATATCCTTCCTAATATGAATCAATAATAAATAATCAATAAATTCTTTTTGTTTATAGGGATGAAATGAATCCTTGCTTTTGAAACTTAATAATCATTCATATTGATTGGACGAATAAATTTGCAATTTATTAATGTATTTATTATTTTTTTTTTTTTCAATAATGTTTACGCGAAATGTATTATGATAAATAAGAAAAAAAATTCACTACGTATTCATGACATATTACTCGTTATCTCGCAAAATTAAGCAATATAAATAATCAATATAAATAATTAATGATTTAATTTTTATTAATTAATAAAATATTACTAGACCTTTTTATTGTCCGTTGTAATGAAATCAGATAAAATAGAATGGTAAATTTAAAATTTATTTTATGTAACGAAGTGCTGCACAAAGTTTGTCGTTTTGTTTTTTAATCTGCAAGTTGTTCATTTCTCATATTTGCTTTACACTTAATTAACGTAGATGATAAAAATATTGTATGAAAAATCAAATTGAAGTGTTGTTACTTCCTGATTGTACGAGAAGATAGAATAATTTCACGTGAAAAATATTATATTTCTTATGGAAAGATTCGCTTAAAAAAAAAAAAAGCTCAACATCAATATTAAAATATTCTATTGATTTTCACTTTATAACGAAATAGTATACAAATGTCACTTGGAAGGGTCTGACAAGTTGAAGACCTCAACTGGTATATTAATTCATAAATCACACGATAGATGTAAAATGGATATTTTAGCTTTCATTTTATGCTCTTTTTACGACAAGTTTTTAAATAGAGAATAAAATGTTTAAATTATAATAGAGTTTTCTGGCAATTTTCGATTAATTACAATTTTGTTAATCCGCACACTGATATACAATACACTAATATTATTGTGCATTTTATAAATATTTACCCTTTTTGCTTGTCGCGTTTGTACAAAATCTTGTTAAATATTTATTTACCTCTGAAAAGTTGAAAAGTTTTTTTCAACTCCCGATATAAATATTTTATTGCATCGTGAATGATGCACGTAAACGCGATTTCAAACTGTCGAAGAAAAAGTTAAGTTCGCAATGTGCACTTTTAGGGCAACGTTGCAGCAAAATTTTAATTAACCATATATCAATGTTTTATTATAAGCTCTTTTGTATAGTTTAAATATTTATAAATTGTCAACGTCTGCATTTTAAATGCATTGTTTTTTTATTTTATTATTTTTTTATTTATTTTTATTTATAATATTTCATTATTTAAATTTAGAATATTTCAATATTTAAAATATTTCATTGTTTTTTTTTTTTTGTTTTTTGTTTAAGAAATATGAAAAAAAAAATAGCAAGGAAGAAAAACGAAAAGAAAAAGGATAAATAAAACAGAAAAGAAGAAAAAAGTATAAAATGCCATTTCCAGTATTACATCATAGGTAAACTCATAATTAAATATCACCAGGAGCTTAGGATGCTGTTCAATTATTTTGTTGTTTTTTTCTTTCTTTCTTCGATTATCGATCGATATCAGCGACTTTGGCAGTTACGGCGGTAAAATTGATTTTCCTTCATCGTGACGTAGAATATCTTAAAAATATTAGGGGCCTCTCTGAGCTCACAACCACACAGCGCAAACGTTCCGGTATTACGCGCCGTATGAACATTTCAAAATTTATCGCCAACACTACAACATGGTTGAACACGCGGCTGCTAGTGAAGCTGAGGTAACACGTATCGTCCCTCTCGCTTACCCTTCTTCCGCCATAGTCCATAGTCCCATCACGGGAGAACTAGAGAAATAGCTGCCGCTGAAATTTTTTCCAACCACCCCCCACCCCGCCTCCTCCGAATAAACGAAGCATCGGGATAGTTGCCACGTCGTGGTCTCTTCAACTGGAGTCGTTGGAGCCGTTAGAGCCGTTAGAGCCGTTAATGGAGCCGCTAGTAGAGTGTCGGTGAGAAGCGAGGTAAAATCACTCTTGGGAAGTTAGAGCGTTAGATGATGGTCGGCCGTTCTTCCTCCAGTGCCGCTCGAAAAAAGTGGAAGAGCGCCGCATAACTTCTTGGGCAAGTCGCCTGCGGTTCGTAGGTGCCTGCCGGAGGAGGTGGAAGGACGACCGTAACAGGTGTCGGGGCCCAAAAGACAACCTGTCGCAACTGCACACTGCCCGTGTTCACGTGCGCGCTCGATCTCACGGGAGATGGAGAGC